AAAACAAGAAACAGGAGCCCTTTGCCAGTTTTCAGATTTTTTTTAATACTAAAAAATAAACTTCAAGAAATCTCATTGTTCAATACCTAGATCTAGAGTGCTTGCAGCAAAACAGATTTTGGCAAAATCAAAAAGAGCAAAATATCCGCTGAAATCCTTGGTGACTGTAAAATAAGCAGATTTGTTTATCTCAAACGTATTATTGACTGGGGTCATTGATCTTTATTGTGTCAACCAAATTTTTGGTTCCTACATACTAACAGTACTTGTGTTGGGCAAAAAAATACATGGTTTCTCAGCATTCACTTCAAGCAGCACAGCACCACATGCCAGTCTTGTCTGATGCACAGGCAGGTTTGCTTAGTTTAATATTATATACACTTGATGCGAGTGATTCGTTCATGTTCGTTCTTTGTTATTTGCTGTTCGGTTCATGTAAACTAATTTATATTTTGGCCCCATTTTGACATTCTACCTGCTATTCCCACAAACTGCAGGTTAAAGTTTTAGGCTATATAATTTTGTATGTGAATCAGACATCATGAGAAATTACTCTATTTACAAGAGCAAATACCTTTACATAAATATTTTCAAGTATTCAGTTTTTCAATCCTTACACTAGACATACTAGAAATACTAGAAAAAAATATATAGCTATCTTCATTATTCAAATTCATGTGTCTGGTCTCTTGAACACTTTGTACTAGCATTCCTAGAAGTACTAGAATAAACATTGTGTATTCAAATGATATTGCATATCTTTAACAGCCTCTAAAAAATCTTGTATTTCTGATTGTTTTGAAAGTACGAGTCTAGCTAGATAATGCCGCAGTGTATACTAGCTGCTCATTTAGACATTTCCTAAAGATAGAACTCTATGGTTGCAGATATCTGGTAAATCATGTTGTACCTTCAAAGTCACAGTAATCAGAACCAGCCCATACCCATTCCATATTGTTCCTCTCCATTTTTTTAAATCTAATAAGCATTATTTTATTCATCCACAAATTTTGCAAAGCTTGATGAATCAGCCACCATAATGGTACAACGGAAATCGTTTTTGCAAAAGGGAAAATCATACATGGCACTTGATATAATTATATAATTTGGCATCTCAAAGATTATACATTCAGTTTCACTAAAAATGCACATATGAAAAGCTTCATAAAAATTGAATTTCAGATTTTGTATGAATAATGGCAGTGAAATTTCATGAATGTTTATAGTGATGATTTCAGTAATGATGGGAATGATTATGAAGACATGATGACCTGAGCTTTCAAAAGAAAAAGAAAAGGAAAAAAGAGACAAAAAGAAAAGATAGAATGGAAGAGAGAAAGAAAGCATTTCCTATTCCACATGCCTTATATTGATCCCAACTGCAGACACATAGCAGGTAAGTTCAACAAAACTGAACTCAGAATATTAGTCTATCTTTCAATTGATGAAAAGTAGCTAGGCTGAAGCAATATACAAAGGGCAAGATTTCCTTCTGAAAAAGCAGACAGAGAAAAAAAATAAAAGTTGAAAATCACTTCTACCTCATTCTCATGTATCACTAATAGCAAAAAAAAAAAATAAAAAAAATCTGGTAAGTACAATACCCATCACTAATTTAGTACACTGAGCTCAACGTTTGCATCACTTGCTACTTATCCATGACAAAATAGAACCTGGGACAACACCCACACAATTCTATGTACAGAGTCAATGCAATCTTGCTTGATAAACCATGGGGATCACTGAATTTATCATATGAAACCATTGAGCAATTAACTGTAAAAATATCAAGAGCCCCACAAAAACATTCAAATCATAGGTTAATGTAAGAAAAATATTCATAAATTGCACTTATCAGCTGTTGGAAATCCAGACTAGATTTTAAAATAATAAATAAAACTTGTCAACAACTACAAAAGATCGCTATTTAGGTTATCTTCCAAATCTTCCACGGTATTTGATCACATGTGTAGTGTCACCGTGGCTCATGACCACAACCAATGAACAACGGATCTGGCACATATAATCTGCTCTGTGGTTACACATCCTTCAGACAATGCAGTTACAAATGCAGGTCATATGATTTCTAAAAATACTTGACAGAAAATCTCATCAAAAATGAATTGTTTTCATCAGCAGCATCACCACTGGTGACATGTACACATTTTTACACTGTATTATGTCTATAAATAACTCCAATCGTAGCCAGGCTTCTACGAGCCATAGATTTCCGCAGCCTATCACATTCCAAAATCAGTAACGCATGGCTGAGACTGTTAGCAAAGTGTGCGCATCCTCAACTGCCAACACAGGTACGAGCGACAGTGTAGCCACTCCCTCTGGGACTGCCTGGACAATGGCCTGCTGAAGGAGCGTCCGAGATATACTTCCACAGCGGTAATAAAAGGTAAGTCCCATAGGCATTCTGGCATCAGCTCTGGTAATCGTATACTGGATAATTTCTTCTAACATGTCACAACTCAAGTCCTCCGGAGATAAACAACCTGAGAATAACAAAGATTAGGTTATATCATTTTTTTTTAATAATATCAATTGCAAACACTTTTCTCATACTACAAATAAATTAATTTTCTTTATCTCTTACATGCACAAACTTAGATATTACACATCTTATGCAAACTTTCACTAAACTGCACAATATCAATAAAAAAATAAATAAATAAAAATCAGTAACCCACATCCACTTACTAGCATTGGTATTGACTGCACACATGGAGTTATCATGGTACCAGCGTCGTCTTAACCGTACACTTACATTTCCTCTTGTATAGCCCTTTTCTTCATCTGTAAAGATTACATTAATCAAGAAAAATTATATTACACTTATTTCCAGTAAAAGAAGGGATGAAATAATATATATTGGAAGGGATAAGTTTTCTTTCAGACAAATGCAAAAAAAATAGTCTGCTTAGGCATCTTTTTTTTGTTTGTTTCATTTTGGTTACACTTTTGTGTTTATGAATCACTGAAGTTAACGGAATATTACGGACAGTTTGATCTTTTTTTCTTTTTTTCTTTTTTAATGCATTATAAAAGTGAAATTCATTAACACTTATAGAAGATGAAAACCATGGCATACATAAATCTTTTGGGTTAGTAAATAAATGTCACATATAAATGGTAACAATTTACACCACTATGATCACCTTTCATAAAAGACATAGATTCTTTGAAGAAAGTATGAGGTCAACTTGTACATAATACTGTAAGATACAAATATAAAAAAATTTACATAAACATTTTCATAAATCCCCACCAAATCATCATTTGTTCTACTACAGGCTACACAATTTAAAACATTCCTACAAGCCACACAATAGCTATAAATAGAAAAAAACTTCTATAACAAAATATTACCCTGTGAATGCTTACATTCAAATTTATCGTTTTCTACACAGCCCCATGTCTGCCACTCAACCAGAGCAGCTCTTGGCAAAGCAGGCACCACAACATAGGTCGAAATCTGTGACTCACTAAGTCGAGCCATCATGCGTCTGGCCACTCCTATATCTGAAAGTTTTGTTACATAGCACACTCCCTGCAAAAGAGGTAAAAGAATTTTAGTATGTATATATATAGATAAAAGTGACTGAGCAAATGAGAAGGAGAGGTAGAGGAAGAGGGAGACATAGGGGAGAGTGGAGAAACAGAGGAGAGGAAGGGGGAGAGAAAGGAGGAGAGATAGAGGAAGGAAGGGAGGGGTAGACAGAGAGGAAGAGATGGAGAGGGAGATAGGAAGAAGGAGAGGTAGAGAAAAGGAGGGAGGGAGAGGGAAAGGGAAAGGAAGAGGAAATAATATAACATGTGTCGATTACATGAGTTCTTTTTTGTTGCTGATTCTGCATCCTCACACATATTTCTAATTTCTAAATATGAAAATAATGAGAATACATATACAAATGAAGAAACAAACTCAAGCTACATACTAATCTTTCACAAATACATGGATACACTCACACAAATATATCAATCACATTCCAAAACATTCACTTACCTGCACTACAGCTCTTATATCAGTTGACGGAGCAATTGCTGAAATGACTCTTGACACATGACGCAGAGCAAGTCGTGCTTCCACTTCAACACCACCATTTACAACTTGAAGAGTGCCAGGCACCAAGCCAATCATTCCAGCCACCACAACTACACTTCCAACCTGAGAGAGTAGCTTGAATGTAAGGCTTACATAGCTAAATTATGAAAATAAAATAAACAATACTATTCTAATCTCTCAAAGATCAAAATTAAAATGACCACAAGACATAATCCAAACTATTATCAAAATCTTGAAAAATCACATAATGTAAGGCCACCAACTAAGGAAAAGAACAATGCAATATCTCATAACATTACAAGAAGCATCAAGGTGGCAAAAGACAACTCACCTTCACAGCTTGGCTATATGGTCCTATGTTAGCAGGTGCCCAGTGTGAGATGCCCTGAACATGCATTGTGGATCGTGAGGTAGGATGTATCTTCTCTGGCTCCTTGTCAGTTGTTACATGGCTTTGCTTCCATCCAGAAACATCTAGTTGTACTTGTACATTAGTTGAGAGAGGGACCTAAAAAACACTTTTTGATCAGGAGCAGTGCCAGTATGACAATGTCATCAGGAATGTATACATGGCTCAGTTTGATATCACAAAAGTTTCCTTTATAGTTAATTATCTTTGTGCTGACTGCTTCCAATTTGTAAATTAATTCAAGTAAGAAATAGACACAAAATGTGAAAGGATAACTTTACACAGGCTAAGATCTAGTACAGTAATGTTATCTGAACATTTACCTAAAATGTTAAATGCAAAATAATATAGCCACTTGACAGCTGCAAGCATGAACCAGTCAACAATTCTTCACTAATTTTGTTGACTGTAAATTTGCCATGTAAATTTGACTCTTATTCTGATTACATGGTTATCCTTTTTTTGCTTCTTACACTGTCTGTATTTCTACACTTGAATTATACATTTACTGTTAAACTGCTATAATCGTTAATCACAACAATAAGTTCAAGTAGGTTTTATTATAATAAAAGTTACATTTTGTGTCTCAAAAGAATAGACTACTGTATATATTTGCTTACCAACAGTCTCTACATAAAATAAGCATTTCTTTACTTATCAAAAGAAAGAAAATTGCGTACAGTACATAAACCAAGTAAAATGGGGTAAGACAAACTACTTAGCACATAGGTAAACCATCTACCTAAAAATATATACAGGTAAACAAATGGGAAAATAAATGAAAATAAGAATTAGTTCATCTGAGAGAGAAAACTGCTCAATTCATTTTACCATCTACTCTCACTACGAACACACATTAGGTGCTTTCCTAGTCAATGAAACCCATCTTCCAGGATGAAAAAAATTTCTCCCCCCCCCCCACACACACTCTCTCTCTCTCTCTCTCTCTCTCTCAAGTCAAACTGGATTGCATCTCCTTTCCTGGGCCTACATCTTTCTCCAATGACTGCAAAGATATAAGATTAGCGAACTGTGAAATAGCTAGCCTTGTACTTTGAAAATACTTTTTTTTTTTTTTTTTTTTTTTCAGTTGACTATGTACAGAGATCATTCTGAACTAGTCATACCTTATTTTTCAAAGCTGTTGCCAGTATCATGTGTGTACACAGATATAATGTTATATATATATATATATATATATATATATATATAATATATATATATATATTATATATATATATATATATATATGTATACACAAGTGCAAGTTGGATTACCTACTGGCAACAGCTGTCTAGATTTACAATAACCTACGAAGTGTGACTGAAGCAGGACTGTGATCCTTTCAATCCTCAGAAGAGTAATGTTACAATGGTTACAATTCACACCAAATTTAACTCCCATTTTTAGGGTAATTCTGAGGAGTGTAGATTAACTGATTAATAACTTCGGAGTTTTACTTCCTATGAGTTTCACTGCCTGTGCAAAATGACATAGCAAGTCAAGTAGTAAGCCAGGAAATCATGGAAAATCCTCACCTTGTTTAACCCATTACCAATGGGTACATAAAATGTCCACTGTAGATATGTTTTTGAATTGTGTTTACATGCAGTCAAATCAGAGTCAAGTCATATGCCCTACATGACCTCATCTGGTTTCCCAAGTGCTTGAATTTTCTTTTCTTTTTTTCTTTTCTTTTCTTTTTTTATCAATTCCTATGGTCCAGGTAATGTGACCATCGACAAGAAAAAATTTGGCTGTGGGACAGGGTGATGTTAGCTAGCCATCATGAGCATTTCAGCTGAAGGCCAGGGTGATGGCAAAAGTGTGGAATGTAATGTCTGTTAACCATGACTGGAAGAGCGCCAGCTCCAGGGAGGAAGCTATTTCCATGCTTAGGATCCAATTCCTGACCACCATATAAGTAGCAGCGCAAGTTGTATTACAGTAAACTGATTAATGAAAAAAAAAGATATATACAAAATCACAAAATACTACTTATTGTTATCATTATTGTATTGAGTTATAGACAACCTAAAGATATGATATAGAGTCTGTGCAAAGAAAACAGTCTATTACCATAAGGATAAAGCAAATCAAATGACAAATATGGACATTACAAAATGGCAAAAATAATCTTGTCACAGCAAATATGTGTTCATTTGCATCGGGCTTATAAGTCACACATCCAGCAGTGCGTCCGCAAAGCCTGTATTTTGGGCCTCATGATGGCAGGGATGCATCCAGATCCAATGAGTTCATATCAATAATGGTATCATTATTTTTGACATCATAACTATTATAATGTCCTTAAAATCCTAATAGTAATAAAAGGTCAAAGAGGATCTTGAAATAATCAAGGAAAAGAGAAAACAGGTGAGCACAATGAACTAGTAATTAACTCCTTGGTAACTAAATACTTGCAAAGCCATCTATAAATAAACTATATCACAGAAATGCTATCCCAAAGAGGATTGGGTTAATAGAACCTGGAGCAGCAGGAGTGCATCATATACTTAGAAACACAGAATTCCAATTACATCCAATCAAAGTTTCTAATTGCTATTTTCCACCTTCTCCCTTTCTCTATATACCTTTTTTATTCCTATTTGATGCAATTTAAACACTAATCCAAACTTACTTCAGCACACAATCAATATAAATATATAAAACATATATAATATATAAACATATATATAATATATATATATATATATATATATATATATATATATGTATAATACAACATACATACATACATACATACATACATACATACATACATACATACATACATACATACATACATACTATCATACATACATACATACATACATACATACATACATACATACATACAACATATACATATATATACATTATATATATATATACATTATATATATATACTAAAATCTACTATATATATTATGTATATTATATAAGCTACAAATAATATACTATACAATACGCAAATATATGTATTATAGTAAATATATATACATATGTATATTTA